TTTTATTTTCTGTTTGCCGAAGTGGATGAGCATCTCATACTGTAAGGAAAATGTACAGCTTCAGTGCTTAAACGATTAAAAATCACTCTGTTCATATATCAATTTTTCTCAGTGCCAAAATTTGTTCGGAAATTGTTGGTTTTTTTTTATAACTGGATGATTTGAATTCAGTGAGTCGCGAACTCCTAGTGCAGTCCCACCTGGTGGCTCACGATGTCGCAGCCGATCGAATTCATGGCGTGCCCGTCCTTGCTCTATCTTGAAGGAAGAAAGCGAAGAAGAACTTTCATCCTACATGCGATCTAGTCGTCATAGTAGTAGGTAGGTTTTGTCGAAAACTCATCCATGTTATTATTCACGAGCTTTTTCGCTTTTTGACTTGCGGTAGCATTGCTATTCGTCTGTGTTTATCGTGTTGTCATCTTTGTTCTGCGCTTATTCGTTGTCCTATCTGTGTTGCTGCTCAATGCTGTTTCCGAACTATTCAGAAGTGCTTCCAAAGAGTTCGTCTCAACTCCCCTACGTGGTATCAGAGTACCCTCCCGCCAATCATCCCTGGACGAAGAACTGTTCGAAGAACCCCGGTCTGCGTCCATTGCGAGAGTTCTTCAGCCGTTCGAAGATCTCTCTCCAATAGCAGAACATTGCCCAGTCATGCCCAGATTCACTCTAAGCGATTCGGATGAGAATCCATCTGAACTTGTTGTTGCACAACGGCGAGCAAAGTTTGCTCGAAGCCGTTCATCGGCCACTGGAGCCTCCCCAGTCTCTGTTCGCTCAGTATTTTCAAAATCCGATGATAGTTTTGCGGAACTTCAGCCACCGCATCGTCGCCAAACTTATTCCGGTCGCATGGATCTTGCACGCAGGTGGTTATGTTATTTGTGCGTAAAATTTTCTTTTGATGTGTTACAAAAGCATGCCATACACCACCCATCTTTACAGCATGTACTTTGCAGACACCTTTGTTTTATTTGCACATACATTTCGAATGCATGATTTTTTTTTAACATCCATAAGGGTTATGCTAATTCATAGTAGATTTTCTGTACTGCTACACTAAGAGCACCGCAGTATCTTCCTAAAGTTTTAGTAGCTTCGATTGTGAAGGCACCCTTTATATGTGATCTCCATGAGATTTCACGCGCACTTTTCTCATAATGATGGTGATAACTTTTTCCTTTTTTAGAGGATATAAAAAGCGTGTTTTAATCTAATCCCTGATTTAAGTAATATTTGCAAACTGTTTGCAATCGGCTATGTTTAAGCGTAATTCTAAAGTGTAGAAATTTAATCTTAAGCGTTACCCATATCAACACGTACTCATTTTATAAGAACAGGTGTGTGATTGATTTACGAACGGAACATTGTTAGAAGCGAGCGTTCTTTATATAAGTAGTATGTGCGTCTTTTACCTTGCTATTGAATGGAAACCTTTTTTAGTCTTTTAAATTTGAAGTTAGTTAAAAAAAAATCATTACGAGAATGTTATATTTTGCTCAAAGTTTCTTTCTGTTAGTTCAACCGCCAATCTGCATCTCATTTTTGAGGTAAATAGTATAAAGCCCTCATATTAGTAACACTAATTGCAAGTGCATGGAAGCAACTTGTTTCCCACTCTGCCTTATGCAAAGTATAACTGTACATGTGATATGGTTTGCAGTTGATGACTTAACCGTTTATAGTTGATGCGATTTTCGCTACATTCTCATATAATGTGTCTTAGGAATTCATCTCCTTCCATCTCGATGTTCAGTGGAGCCCGTGACCGTGTTAGTCCTCAAGCAGTTCAAGATCTCTTGGAACTCTGTCGATTAGGTAATCAGATTATCTCATCCAACAATATGGTTTTCTGAAATTTATCACATTGATTTGATTGACTCTGTTAAGATTATCCCCTAGTTTTTTTGGTCTTATCTCGTCTCTAAATACACTCCAGCTTTGATTGTGCTGAAAATTGTTGTGAAAGCAATTATTGGATGATAAAATTTAGTGATTATAGGAAAAGGACGACGTGCAGCAAGCCCAGAAAGTTTGCGAAGTAGTAGGTCGCCCTCCCCACCCACCAGCAGTGGGCGCGCTTCTCCCGGTACGGTTCTGCTAGATTCTTGCAAAATTTCTTTTCAATGCGTTATTAGTCTTGTACCTATCCCTTGTGAGGACAAGAGTTCCATCATAATCAAAATTCTTAAAATTAAATCCTGTTTTCAGCTATGTCTTCCTTGTCGTCCCTATCTCGTCTCAAGGTTGCCTCGAGCGCCAGTGGCATGCGTAAACTTTCTTCCTCTCCACATCTCCTAGGAATCTGCGAAGAAGGGGAAGATGTGGAGACAGGCAATATGCTTTTAACAACAGGACAAACTGCACGGACGAATAGGTAACTTTGAAATTCCATATCTTCGCCTTGCTTGACGTTAACTTTTTTCAACATCCATACGCCTAACTGCGCTGATTTGTCTCTTTATATGGATTTTTCACAAGCTGGACTCTACGTAATCTCGAGTTTTGTTTATATACAATTAAGTGGCAGCATCTCATCTTAGATCAGCTTCCACTGGGCTCGTTCCTATGCGCCATGGATCGGTTCAAGCAACAAAAAGCACTGGCTCACATCCTCTACCGGCAACATATAGGTAACGTAAGAAGTTTATAGTTGTGTTCCTGTTTCTAACACGTCTGCTCCCCCACCAATAAGTT